ATGAGGTGTTTAATTTATTTTTAACATTGTATTTTATACATTTATGCTGGGGCTGCCCAAGCCTAGTTTTCCAGAGCTCCCATTATGCAACTTTAGATGCATTCCTTCTCTAACACACCTGGACCATTGACTCATTATAAGCCTCTACAGAACTGAATGAGGGAAGTCAACCTTTTGTCTGGGGTGTTTTAGCAGGGATGCACTCCTGATTTGTACCGTCAATGTGGCCCGTTGAGGGGGGCCAATATGCTGAAGTGGCCCTCGGTGAAATTGAGTTTGACACCCCTGGTCTACAATGAATATTTTATCCAGTATATGGTCAGAAATCTATTCTTTAAAATGATTTTATTTCTAGGTTGTTTTTATAGACTCCTTACAATTTTTGATAAAACTTCAGACACACAATTTTTCTTATCTAAACCTTTATTGTAGTATTTTGTAATAAGATAAATATCGAAAGGATAGAAGTGTTTGTTTTTATTAGACATTAACATTCAGCCATTCTGAAAATTTTCCAGGTTTGACCCGTTCTGTCTTGTAACTTCATTTGTTATTCTGCTTTATTATCAGGCATGTCATTTTAAAGAAAAAAAAAATCAAAACATACAGTAGCTTAAGGAAGCATTAAATCGTTTAAAACTATTTTAAAAATTATTTTCCATAGAACACAATAGGTAATTAAAAAAAACTATCTTACACACATGGTGTTTTGCTTTGTGATTAATCTCTTTGTCATTTTACGACTATTTTAGAGGTTAAGTATTCTTGTATTTCAGTGAAAATGTTGACAAATAATCTTAGAAAAAATAGCAGATTTCTGTTTAAAATAGTTATTTAATACAGTAATTATGTAAAATACCACCTTAGATATGCTTACACTCAGTAAAGGAGACAAAACAGCTGAACTCTTGACCCTTGGGGATCAAGTGGCTCTGCCCAGTGTGATAAAAAGTGGGAATCAGATGTAATTCAGAGTCATAATCTGTTAAAGCACCAGGAAATGTTGACACACTCAATATTTTTGAAGAATGTTGCTCAAGTTGGTGTTAAACACATGAACTCATAAGTAAGGGCCCTGCTTTGAAACTCATTAAGCCAGACTAATAGTACTTTTTATTTTTAATTTACCAGCTATCTGTATAAGCTGCTAGAATAACAAATTCACTTAATAAAAACTTATTCTGTGGGGTTTTCTGTACATTTGTTCTGATAAAACTAGATGTTTCTCCATGTTTGGTAAAATCATTAAAAGCACCTAAACTGTAATTTATTTTCCTGTAAACTGACAGGCTGGATAATTCAATTCAATTAAAAGAATACTATTTTGGTCCCAAAGGGACATTTAATGTTGATGATGATGTAGGGAAAAATTATTTTTACCATCAACAAAATGAAAACAGTGTTTGCTGCCATTTTTCTTCCAACCTGCTACTTTGTGTTGGTTTATCATAGAAAATCCTCAAATACATTAAAATTGCAATTAAAAAAGTTTAAAAAAAGTTAAAAAATGCAATTACTTTAGAAACTGTGCAGGAGTTTGTCATTGACAAAGACCAAGAATCAAGCTTCTGCTGAAAATCAGGACAATAAATAAAAAACACCCACAACTTTGTAACATTTAAGAATTGTGATATTTTATTAATTTCAGATTCAAATAAAAGTATTCACACAAACACATATTGACTAAATAGGCAAGAATTGCTCTTCACCCTTTCAGAAAAATAATGAAAAAAACAACAACAAAATAAAACAGTTGCACTCCCTGCAGCCACTCCACTGTTGCCGTGGTTACCGGGAAACATCCCATTCATCAAAAGACGGTAATCATTTATAGAAAAACAAAAGAGGAGGGAGGGAAAAAGTGTGTGTGTGTGTGTGGGGGGGGGGGGAATAGCACACATCATGAGAGCAGACAGGAAGATCCACAAACGGACTCGCCATACTAACAGTGGTACAGGAAGTGGTACTTGATGTAGTACTCGTAGTAGTTAGCTGTTCATCTGGAGGTTTCCTGTTGTTGGAGCTCAATTAGACTGAACAGCAGAAGAGTTACGAACGTGTAACAGTAAAAAAAAAAAACAAAGGAAGGAAGGGGGACGCAGAAGGAGGCGTCCAAATGAACCTGGGAGTAAGGGGAGAGAGCTGAGGATTACCAGCAGCTCATGGTTAATCTGATGTGTTGGAGGTAATTTCAGACCCTGATGTTCGTCCTCGCGCTCTCCTCCCGCTGATCAGTAACATGAGTCCAAACAGGGTAAAAAAAAATGCATCAAACTGGAGGTAGAGGTAGATTTTCCTGAGAAGTTGTAAGACACAACAGACACGCCTTGTTTCCGTACTGAAGATACTCAAAGACATCCGAAGATCACTCACTCTTTCACTCACTCACGCACACTCTTCTCTACAATAATCACATTATTATCAACATAATCACCGCTGGATTCATAAATCTGCTCTAGAAGTAATCTCTGTGTGCCTCAGTTTCTAAAAGCATGTCAAAAAAGAGCAAAGAAACAGCAAACAAACAATATACACATGATATAATCCATAGCCCTAAGTAAGCCATCTATTAGAAATAATCTATTTAACAAATCTTAGAAATACAGATTAATTCATATAATTGTCACAGCAGAAGGCATCTTGTTTGTTATTTTCTCGTGATGGTTTTCCCTGCCCACAGTCTGACCTGGTGGAGGTCAAATCAGTGATGGAGTCCAGTCAAAAGGCCCTGAACCCATCTCAATCCGTAAAATGTTCCAGCTCGGCGGCGACGAGTGGGAACAGGACGCCATTTCCAAACAAGACGCTGAGGATCTATAGTTTGATTTATTTTTTTTAAAAATCTACAGCTTTGGTTGGATGAAAAGCGGCTCTATTTCACTAACGTCTGTGAGCAAGAGACCAGAATCTCAGATTTATCAAAGTGGATTTGCTGAGAAGGATGTTCCAGTTTGTGCAACAGCATCAAAAAAAGCAGAATTAAGCAGCGACACCAACAAACTACCAGAGCGTAACTTGAGACGACAGAGTAAAGACGACAGGAACCGCCTGAAAGCTTCCCGAGTGGAAAATAAAAAAACAAGAAAAACCCCAGTTTTGTTTTGTGTGCTACTCGTTTAAAACCAACGTGTTCATTTATTTAATTTTGCTACAATTTGACTTTAAGTATCAGACTCCAGTTTGATCACAGCTACACTAGAACAGGACGCCTGGTTCCTGTAAAAACACCCAGACAGAGCGTGAAGAAGAGCGACTGCCTGTGTAAGAGTTTGAGATTTTTCTGTTGTAGTGTTTCATAATGCTCCTTCACACATTTCTACATAAACACACTTGAAACACTTGGAAGATATGAGGATATGCTCAGAGTTCGTGCCGTTGTTGAGGTAAATGCGATATTTCCATTTAGAAAGCGGATTGTGCGTCGTAATAAAACCTTCCACTGGGGGGCGCTCTTGCCACAAAGGCTATAAGGCTTGAAAGTAAAGCTGCTCTCCTTGCATGACTAAAAATGGTTATTGATTAAAGGAGAGAGTCACATTTAAGCAGATATCTGATTGTCTGCGGTTATTACAATCTCTTTAATGGTCTTTGTGAAGCAAGAAAAAACATTTTGATGAGGTTTTTTCTGCTTGAACGACAGGAATTGTTGATGAGGTTCTGCCAAAGCTGAGGTCCTTGAGGTAGAAACGGGGCTCGGCTTGCGGTTGAAGGGATGTACGAGAGCTTTTTTGTTTTGTTTTTTTTCCTTTAGAGGTATACAGCGTTGCCTTAAAGTTGTCTCCTGATTGTCGCAACCACGCAATAAAAACAAAGTAAAAACTGAATAAAAAACGCCAACCCTCCCTGAAAGTACTGCCATGCGCCGAAAGACAAAGGAGCTGCAGAGCCTCCACTGTTCAAATGCAAATATCCGTCAAAAGCAAGTCAATAGATATGCAATAAACATGGATCGACTGGCTGGGGGGGCAGCTGCTTTACTGCTGCCCTGGGAGCTGAAAGGTCAAAGGGTGAAATCTGAAAAGGCAATGTTGATCCTTTAGATCCAGATTGATTGAATTTAGTTTTCCTTCCCCCCTCGCAAACATTCAGCCGAAAGCCTTGGCTCTTTTTTTTTTTTGATTGTCAGCAACGTGGCATCTGCGAAAAAACTTTGGTTTCTGTGAGGATTCAGACGGATGCATCGTATTTATTTATCACAGCAGAAACGGTTAGGAGGAGGAAATATGCCCATCGATGTTCCCCTCATGGTTTTTGAACTTAAACTAAAATAAATACTTTTTGCACGGATCTAAATAGACGAGTTAAAAGTATTTTTCATTAAAAAGCTACTTTTTGATGATTATTTTTACCTCCTTGGTTGAGATTTTATTTTGTATTTTTTCTGCAAGCGTAGATTGTTTTTCTAAAATGTTTATGCCGCCTTTAATGAATGGGTCCTTGGATGTTTGTGGAGATTCAAATCAAATTAGGAAACGTGATCAATAGAAGAGAAATAGTTCCTGTTTGACCTCAGGCTCCTTTGTAAAAAGATAATTTAATTTGTCAGAGCCTTAAAAATACAAAAAGAGTCCATTTGCAACAACTGTCTCTGTTGGAAAGCCAAATCTGTGCCATCTTTTAAGAAACGGGTCCAGACAATCAAACCCAGAACAATTTATATAAAATAAATAATAGTGGAGCATTTTTTTAAACTACAGTATTTAATTTTTTTAAAGGGTGTAAAGGAGCAGATGGTTATTTAGTAAATCCATATTTTCCAGCTTCCTTTGGGTTTAAATGTGGGTCTGAACTCCTTTTAAAAATGACAAAATGTCATCTCATTATCTAAAAATCCCCATTTATACAACTAATATTTAATACATTTAAAAGCAGAACTGCAGAAAAAAGTGGCAACTTGGAGTCACAAAATCACCATAGGTGACACCAAAAGGGCCTGCGTCTTTTACAATTCATTAAAATTTTACAAATATTTGATTAAGTACTACTTTTAATAAACTTTAGACATTTTACCAGAGGAACAACAGAGTTAAAGACAAATACTAAGTGTTTTATATAGGGGAACATTTCCTTTAAATTACATATATTATCATATTTTAAAGCCAAACAGCCTAAAAATCTTAAAAGTATAAAACTTGAGTGACTTTTGCCCTTTCTATCTGTATTTAAAGGGGATATATAAAATAAACTAACTGAAGACGGACTATTACAGTGAGTCCTCAGATATTAATGTGCTGGAAGCTGCATTACTGTCGAGTATTCAGCTCTGCTATGTGGAGAAAAGTGAGGCTTGCATGGCCTGTGAATGTAAAGCATTTTGGTGACTGAGCTGCTTGCAGGGTAACAATGCAGGTCAGAATTGGACCAAAAAAAAAAAAAAAATCAAACGTTATGTTGTCAAAATGTTACAACGTTTTTCCAAACTTCCTCCACCTCACTGGATGAATCTCTGTTTCAATATTAACTTTATGAACCCAAAGTCAAACTGTAAGTTTTGCCGTACCCGTTTTGTATTTGGAGGACGTTGGGTTTTCCAATAATGAAGACAAATGTTGTGATGCATTCATGCCTGCTCTGTGTTTGCTTTTTTTCATGGTTCTCAGCTTTGGACCCATTCTGAACGACTGGGTCAGAAGGGTTCAAACAGAACCCTGCTGAAAGCCAAAACGTCTTAAAAATTGTGATATGCTCTTGAGGATTGTCTAAACTGACTGAAAGTTTCAATCGTCGAATGTTAAACTAAAAAAAGAACTGACTTAAGTTTAAACATCTTGTTTAAATCAGGCTATTTTAAATACAATAAAAATGTGAAGTTTCAATTCTTTTTCACTGAAGTTTCTAATGAAAGGGGTTCTTTATTTAGCTAGAAGAGTGCTTTTTGAAAAGTGACCAGTGTTTGTTTAGCAGCTGGTGGTGATTTCCCACAGAGAAGCGAGTCCAGGACTCAAAGCCCTGACAGCCATCTGGTGATATTTGACTGAACAGTAAAAAGTGATTAGGCGGAGGAGCTGCTCACTCTCTGGTCACCTCACGCTGCGTTAAGGCCTCCGAACAGAACCAGTGCACAAAGCCTGATTTAGGGCTGAGTAACGATCTCCAACAGTCCAGAGAGGAAACGCAGGTTCAAGTTCAAAAAGCTAAACGATTTAACTATTTCAAGACGCGGAGACTCTGCTGGCTGCTACGGCGTGCCTCTTCTGTCATAAAGCCGACCGGGTTCGTCACCGATGATAAGACACAAGCAAACGCGCAGAAAGGTCCAGATCGAACCGCAGCGGCTGCACAGTTTGAGGATCACAAAACATTCGCTGCTGTAACGTCGACGGAGAAGGCGGCATCCTTGTCACAGCCCAGGATAAGAAGCACTTGGATCAGAAGAAGCACAAAGACATGCGGAAAACAAGGCCGAACGGGAAAAATGAAAAACAGAAGAATCAAGATTACAAAGAGCTGAAGATGCCTGTCAGGTTTCTCCTGAGGCCCACATGATTGTCCGTGTGAGTTTCAAAGAAAGCAAAAGGATTGAGTCGACTCTCGGATCAGAAAACTGCTTCGATTCTGATTGAAGGGGCTGAAGCATGACACTGACCTGAAGAGGCAAGAGGGTAAAATGTAGAAAGCATTGCTCTGTCCAGTGTAATAAATCACACAAAGCTAAGAGACACCTGAGAAAAATCATAACGTGATATTTTAGCTAACGACGAACCTTAAATCGAGTGCCGTTCTGCTCCAGAGAGCCGTTCGAACACACGTCTGAGACTGGCCAGGTGAAAACATACAGGACGAGCCGCAGCCGCCTCTGGGAGAACGAGCGCGCAGACAGACAGACAGACGTGCAGAAAGCATGCCAGCCGGAGTCCGGATAAGAGCGATAATACACTGACAGTCCTGCAGGGGAGCAGAAGATCCCTGCAGGTTCTTCTGGACCAAACCTGCACTTATTCTCCCATAGGGCTGCCCACGTTTATAAGGTTATCTGGTTTTACAACAACATGAGGTCACAGCCACACAATGCTTTATGCCCTGAAGAGAACAAAAAAACACACACGTTTTAAAGCTTTTCTGATTAAAAATAGAGGATTTTCATACTTCTTTTTTCATAGAATTCTTAATATATAGATTACTTTTCCTGCAATGAGAAGATTATTAAAGGTTTAAACAACAAAACACAATAAAGAGAATAACAATAATGATAATAATGACAATGAAAAGTTAAAATAATAAAAAAATCTCTCCTCTAGAAGATATAATATCATTGTCAGTCAGTAGCTGTGTTTGTGTGTGTAAACAATGCGTTAGCCTTCCTAGTTATTATCTTCTCTGTTGTTCTCCAATAATCTGTACATTTATGCAGAAATAAATAATTCACAGGTTGTGCACAAGTTTTAGCATATACTGGCTCTCAGTTGGGATTATTTCTTTTCAAAATCCTTTTGGCGATGAAGAACAAAAGAGGTGAGTTTGTGAGAGAAAACCTGAGATAGTGTACTTCAAGTGAGCAGAGTTTCAGTTTGTCTTTCTGTACTGATGATGGTTCTTCTCTTCTTTTCTTTTTGGCATAGATGACGTAGAAAATTAGGTTGCTTTTTGGCTTTTCTTAGCGTGGTGATAATAAAAAAAAATGGGGGGAAGTTTGTTAAGACAGCGGGTTGCTGGAGGCTGAGGTAGGTGTGTTTTGCTGCTGCTGCTGCTGCTGTGGAGCAATGCGACTGCTGACAGGCTTGTTGGAGAGGGACGACACAGACACACCGGACGAAGCTGACCCTGCTGCTGCCTGAGCGAAAAGGACACCTAGACAGGAAAAGGGGCAAAAGGAAAACCATAAATCACTGTTAAAATCCACAGCACATAAATTTAAATCCAAATTCAAGAAATGGTAATATTTCACTAAAAACAGGAAACCAGGAGCCTCATTTGCACCTTATAAAACTTTATATGCTTTTAAAGATGTAAATCCATAAGATCACACTAGATGTATTTGATGGAAGTTACCAACATGCACTGAAAATATAGGTAGGAAAGATTATTTACTTATAGAGCATTATTTTAACTCCATAAACAATTTCTTTGTATTTCTAAAGTTGTTAAGGATTGTTTGAAATCATATTGGGACTCTGTGTTTAGAGACTTAAATCACAAATTCAGATCAGTTCATCTCAACTTTAAACAATATTTTCAATATTCTTTCTAATATTATATTAGCAGTTTTGATAGTTTTCTTCAGTTCTGAGGCACATAAATTGATGCTGATTTTAGTTTGTAGTATTATATCTCCAGAGATATGCAGTCTTTACTTAATTAGTTATTTATAAAACATACAAAACTAACTAAGGCATCTGGCCTTAAACAAACACATGTAGATATTTTGTCTTGACAGCAATTTGGTAAAATATTTCTAATATTGTGATAAATAAAAGCAGCAAGTTGCTCGATCTCATCTTAAAGGTTTAGGTTACATCTTTGTTTAATCAGTTGGGAGTATTTGCTTGATGGTACACATTTGCATCAAGAGTACTAGACCTTAACTTCATGCAAAGAAAAGAGGAAAGAGGAGTGGCCGCCTGATGTCTTGTCTGCAAAGTGGAATGCAGGAAGAAAAGGAGGCATTCTGTTTCTAAATAATGAAACAAATATTCTGTCTGATTTTTGAAGAAATAAAGTTTCTCCATTAATTGAACTTGAGATAAGCCAAAAAAAAAAAAAAGAGATCCTCAGGTTTTACTGGATGATAACAATTTAAAAATGTTCCTTCCAAGAGATTTATCTGCCACATTAGCAGAGGTTTCCAAAAATAAACGTGTTTTATACCAATGAGATCTGGAAAAATGAACTATTTTGATGCCAGTTCTCGAAATCAAAACCGGATTGAGTCTCTTAACATCCATCAATCTGAATACATGGAAGGTAAAGGCTTGCAAAGAGAAGACAACATATACATTTTCTCCCAAGTGAATATCAAATTAAGAGGGGGGGTAATGACAGAGGAAGGAAGTGATGCGCTGTACTTCCTGTACGAAATCACAGAGGTACTCACCAGTGTATACCACTCCATTGAGCTCCACTGACATGCTGATGCTGTTTGTGCCGTTTGTGGTGAGGTTCAGAGCCGACTCTTGCCTGCCATCTGCCAGGAAGACAATAGCTTATTTTTTTTATAATAATCTTTTGTCCAAACAGTGTTAAAAATCTCACCCAAAAGGCAGAGATAGAGTGGAGTGCACAAGTATTTATCTTGGCAAACACACACATTTTGTGCAATTTGTCTTTTTTTTTCTTCTGTTTTTAAATCACCTCTATAAGAACATTTCTGTGAAGTTTTATCGCTTACTGAGAAACGGTTTGCGTGTTCCATCAGATAGTCAGAAACCGAGACGAACCTTTGCTATAAGATCAAAGATGCCGCTTGCACATAACAAAGACAAACACACACATGTAAGGCATGTATGCACGCGTGCCGCTCCTAAAAGCTAAACAGGTCAACATATAGGCCTGCTGTTAGCGCTTTCCTTACTGCTGTGGTTTGTGGTGACAAGAATGTATTGAGATGGCAACTGAAGCACAAAGGGGAAGACGGGTGAAATCTAGAAATTATGCACAATGAAAGGGAGGAAAAAAATGCCAAGGGTGTGCTACAGTAAAAACTAAACGGCAACCTGATGTGTGTCTACATCTATGCTTGACATAAAACCTGTCCAAGATGACCATTTAAGTCATTAAGGTCATTTTAAGTAGGGCTGCAACTAATGACTAATGTCAACCTATCAATTATTCTGACAATCAAAGATTACATATTAAACAGATTTTTAATTTTTTTTTTTACAATATTGTCTTAAATGTGACCTGTTAGGCTTCCTTCAACAGGTTAGGATAGTCTATAAGCGATGCAAAACATGCTCATTACATTTTATTTGCACAAAATGATTCAAATAATCAGATTTTCTGCTCAGTTCTGTTTATTTTGAATTTTCAGAATGATCTGCTTTAGGGCGTATTGTCACTTTAAATCCAAATTAGCTGCTGCTGGCCATGCCCCCAACTCAACGTTCACATTCACACATGAAAATGGCTGGAAACGTATGGGCAATTATACAGCTATACATCTTTGAAAAACATTAGTAGAGCCTCCTGCACAATCAACAAGAACGCAACAAGTGGTTTCTGGATGGCAAGTCAACAACAAAACACTCGTCTTTTCCAGCAGCCATTGTACAGTGTATACAACAATAAAACCAGCTGACCAAACAAGCTGGAGCTTGGCTGGGGTTGCTAGGTAACAGCGCAGAGCCCGTTTAATATGACCTAACCCTTCCAGAGGTTTTTGAAACGGTTTATTTTTAAACATTATAATATTACCAGAAAACTCCTGGATGTTTTTTTTGGCTGTTTTTAGAAGCAGTTGAGATCCAAATTGAAGTACAAAAACATGCAAAATGTTAATTTTGTAAAATGCTTGTTGTGCCTATATTTAACTAAAAATGTAAGCAAGCAGAATATAACAATATCAACAAAAATGTTTATACATATTGTTTAATAAACTGTAGTAGTGTGTTTGTTATGAGTTTGTGTAAACATCAGAATTTCCAGAAACTGATAAAAACAAATATTTCTCCCACTATTATTCCGCCATTTAGTAAATTATTTTGGTAGCATACGTTTACATAATTTAAAACAACAACAACAACATTTGTGCTTGTGAGGAAACGCTGCAGAAGGTTCGGTACCTTGATTGTTGATGCGGATGTTCATGGGTATCTGAGCAGTCATGGCCAGCAGGTTGTGCTGCAGAGCTCTCTGCAGCAGCCGGTGGTGCTCCTCCGCAGGAACAGCCATCTTCTTCTCCGGAGGCTCACCCGCCTCCAGTTTGTCCCTCAGCTGCTCCAAAGCCGCCACCTGAGCCGCCATGGCCGCCTGGGCCGCCGCCGCCGCCTGCACGGCGGCCACCGAGTGGCCGGGCATGGGACCCACCGGCAGACGAGGAATGCCGACCCCCGGCAGCGGCTGGCTTCCCTCCTCTTCTAGTCCGACAAGGAGAAAATCAGCGTCAGATAAAATCAAATACATTGAAATCAATCTTTATCAAGCTGCGAGTCCGCAGGCTCCCCCTACTGGTCCACAAGGTACTGCATGCAAACGACCGTTTGTTTGCCGTGACGTCAGCTCAACGTGCGATGCTACAGCTAGCCTACCAAACGATCGTGGCTAAAAATAATACGAATAAGTGGCTTAAAAACGGGTCACTGAAAAAGAAGAACTAAAGAATTTATTATTATTTATTATGAAGTATTGCTACTTTTACTTGAGTAAAATATTTGTACTCTACCTACTGAGAATAACTTCACCAAATGAACGAGATTGTTTCAGCCAAAAATTCACCAGACACAGACACACACTTGCAGTTTTTGCTAACATTTTTTATATTTAAAAAATTCTGATTTTACTTTGTGATTATGCTGTTTATATAAATCATTTTCATTTAATTTAGTCTTTAAAATATCAACATTTCCACATAACTTTATATTTCGGTCCATCTGATGGTAAAATTTTTAAATATTAAATGTTGATGTTTTGATTAGTTACTCACTCAAGTGAACTTTTTTTTTTTTTTTTTACCAAATACATTTTTACTTTTAATTGAGTAGAAGGATATTAAGGTACAGTGCTACCCTTACATTCTGCTGCTGGAATAATGTGAATAATGATCCAACTGACTGGTCCAAAAATAAAACACTAATTTAACAACAAAAAAAAAAAATATTAATGGTTTAAACCTGTACTTCAATTAAACAGATAAATAAGCCATTGAGTCATTAAGAATAACATATTTATTACATTGAAACATTAAATTAATTCAAACATATTGTGTGTAAATGGCTTTCTTGCTCAAATTAAATATATGATGTTAGAGAAAAACAAGTAAAGATTTTATTGCTCAATTTTTTGGCATTTAGAAAAAAGAAATAATTTTGTTGAATCTAAATGACATGAAATAAAAAAGGTTAGTCTGATTTAACTTCAGTCAGTGAGAAAAAAAGTATTTTTATTAAGTAAAAAATGCTTTCCAAATTTAGACTTTTAATCAAACGTTGAATTGCACTTTCTTACAAAAATCAAACACTTCCAAGGATTTTAACCTTGCAAACCTTGAAAACACTTACTTTAAATTCAAGCATTTGCAAGGATTATAAAAACAAGCCATTTAAGTTTCACCTCCTACAACCAACAGTTCCCACCTTTCTTAATCTTCTGCATGGGGGCGAGCGAGGCGCCGTTGGTTCCCACCGTCAAGCCAACGTTCGGCGTAGAGACTTTAGGCGAGGACAGCATGGTTGGCGTCCCGTTGGGGGAGTAGGTGAAGAGCGAGCTGCCGAAGCTCTGCCGTCGTCCTTCCCGCCGATTGCTGTCGATGGCCGCCTGCAGCTCGTTGGGGTTGCTCAGACCTCTCTTATCACATTCATATGGGTACAGGTACTTCATGTATCTGGAATTAATGGATGTAAATGATTCTTTTATGAACATTAAGTGATGCTTTACTTCAAAATTCAATGTACCTTTTGGGGAATTTTGTATCAAAGAGCAACATAAAATAGTGGAATGAAGCTCAGGTTGTTGATTTTTTTAAAATATTTTTCAAATATTCTTAGATCTACACCAGATCTAAGAAGGTCCAGATGTTAAAAAAGCAGAATAATTGTCCCTATTTTTTTAATTCAACGAGTTTTTATCTCAGCAACTAATTCCATGAGCTTTTAATTGGCTTATTATATTTTTCCCTCTAAAGTCACTATTTATTTTTTTGAATTACCTTATAACTATTCTTGTCACAATAACAAATTTTGCTAGATAAATTGTCCCAGAAATTATTGAGATAAACGATAATATTGTTGTTTTGATACAATTTTCAATTAATAAAAGGATAATGGCATAACAATGCAAGTTTGTCCTCTGAAAAACTAATAAATTTAAATTTTGTACTGAACAATCCAATAAATATCCCCCCCCCCAAAAAAATCCCAAAACAAAAAATAAGATGAAAATAAAAAACTGAAACCATCAATAAAATGAATGATGAAGTCTAAACTAAAATTATCTTTCATGTTAATCATCAGAATGTAAATTAATGCCTCATTTTTCTGACTTTTAGCTATAAATCAAAATGAAAAAACATGCATTATTTCCCTTCCAATTCAACACTACGCTCCAGTTTGTGTTGTTCTACCACTTAAAATCCCAATGAAGCACATTAAAGTTTCAGGTTGAGCTAAAATCAAGATCAAGAGGAATAAAAAACGTAAATACAACACGAGCCTCCTTCCTGGGAGAGCAGATCAGGATGATCTTTTGCTAGCTGGGAGCGAGGAGCTCCAACTACCAACTACAGGAAATTACTTCAACACACAGGAGTTAATTTGAAAAACAAAGCGGCTGTTGACATTTGATCTGTGCCATCTCCGACGCTGTGAAGCACCGAACAGAGCAGGGATTAAGGGATTAAAGCTGCGACAGTTAAGGCACTGTTTAGTCATGAGAAAAGCTGACTTAGCTGCGTCTGTCACCACTGGAAGGGTGAATCCAAATATGCCAAACACAACAACAGCACAGGCGGGTAACTGTGAGAGGAAACAGAAACGTGCACTGACTGTGTGCGGAGGGTGAAGGCTGCACTGGTGATTGAGGTAGGCAGGTTAAGTCCCTTGGTAATCTCCCTCCACAGTTTCTTGTTGATGACCTCCACCAAGCCGCCTTTCTCTGTCACCAGCTTGTAGAGCATGTAGAGGTCCAGGACCTGCTTGGCCATGATGGGAATACGGTTCACAGGGGTTCCTGGTTCACACACAGGAGAAACATCATCAGCTTACAAGGTTGCACAGCCATTTAATGTTGTGTGAATTATATTTGAGTTGCACGTTGGAGATGCCTGTAGTTTGCTTCTAAACCTCGGGAAAAAAGTAGGGCTGAAAGGATTAATCACGATTATTTGTTTATGAAAATAATCGTCAACTAATTTAGTAATCAATTAATTAGTGTAGCGACTCAAAAAGTCTCTTTATTGAAAGAACAACATTTTCAGTAATTAAGCAAAAACTGTGCAGATAATATGTACATTTGGATTTGTGATGTCTGTAAAAGTGTTAAAAATTCCTCAAGTGGCAAAGTTTTAGCTCCACGTGGTTCAAATTCTGTAAAAAAAAAACTAACAAAATTATGTAAAATAAAGCAACTTTTTTAAAATTTACAACAGCAATTATTCATCGGATAATCCAGAAAAGAGAGAATAGGATCAGCTCTACGTGTATTGATGTTAAATGAAGCAGAAAGTGTTGAGCTTTCTCACATGTTGATGTTAAAAAAGCTCTTTTAGCCAAAGATTTAGCTCCAATATCTTTGCAAAAAATGATCAAATGTTCACAAAAGGATAACCATAGTCCTACATTTTAAGCAATAAAATATTTATTTTCTTCTGTATAAAGGAAATAAATTATATGTTTATTTGCATTTTCAATTAGACTATTTCTAATATTGCACAAGAAAGGCTTAAATGAAAAATGTGCAGAATATGTAATTTTATATCTGATTAATCATCAAAATAATAAACAGAATAAACAATTACTAAACTAATTATTAGTTGTAGCCCAGGAAGAAAGTATTTTTATATGAATCGGGTCAAAACAATAACCATTTATTGAAATGAAGCTAATATTTTCAAACGCCTCGTTTCCACTCAGCGTTGAACTGGATTAGTGTTTGTGGGCAAAGGTAAGATGCACTAATAGAGCAAAACAGAACATTTAAATAAAAGTCTTTACCTTAGACTCTCAAATACTATTAGTTTATAAATCACTGAACATCTTAGCACTAAAATACATTAAATATCTCTTATTGTTGTTGTGTCCAGACCTCTCAGGTCTTCTGGTTTTGGTCTGAATCCCCAGAACCAGAACCAAACATGGAGAAGCAGCATTCAGCTTCTATGCACCACAAATCTGGAACAAATTTCCATAAAACTACAAAACAGCTGAAACACTGCCTTTAAATCCAACCTAAAATCGAATTTGTTTAGCTCTTCCTTTGATTAATAGTAACTGGAACCTCGTTTGTTTGAGTCTGGATTAATTATTCCACAGCAATGCGAAGTTTTGTGTTGCGTTTTCATCGTGTGAAGCACTTTGAGCTGCTTTGTTGCTGAAATATGCTGCACAGACAAACTTAACCAGTCACCTGTGTTTGTTTATATTATCTCAAGTCATAACCAGAACTAAAAACAAACAGGTGAAAATATAAAACAGTCATCTTTGCAACACAAGTTAACTTGAATATGAGAAGTAATGCCTCAGTTATCAGAGTGGCCTACAGATGGCGCTCACAGATTCCAAGAGTGGACTTGGCAGACCCACCCACAGGCTGTGGGTGACACTGTAAATAGCTTGTTCTGGTTGTTCAGTTGTGACCACATGTCTGTTGTCTCCCATGTCAGCCATTTCTCCCCCCGCCCCGATGTGATAACACGCCCTGAGCCCACCTGTGACTCCAGCAGCGGCTCTGCAGAGCAAAGTCAAACGGCTGCAGCTTTTAGCTGCTCACAAACGATGAACGAAGTGTCCAAACAGGGAGAACTGAAGTGCAAAGTGTTGGAGAAGTGCTCAGGACTGGATAAAACGGCTAATTCATCCCAAGGCTTTTATATGGCTACAGGCTGCAGTGTGACCGTGAAGCAATTATCTCTGAAATGAATCACGACCCCACCCAGAACAGTGAAAGCCGAGAAGATGGGGGAGGGTGATCGTCGTCCTCTCTATAAAATAATTAGAAGCTGCCTGTGGCACCGGCTAGTAATAAAGCCGGGAGATTTGATGAAGAAATGTAATGGTTGTAATGGATACGCAGACACACGGACACTCACCTCGCTTCTGCATGAAACTGAAGAGGTCGTCGAGAAACTCTTTTCTTTTTGGGTCCCCGTCGAGTTCGTAGAGCTGTGGAAACAAAAAGGAGAGAAAAATGAAGGGAAAAGTTTTATTTTTTTTATGTTAGATGTCATAAAACATCCAATTAAAGATGGCAGCTCTTTTCCTACAACCATCAGGAACATAACTTTAAGTTATATTAAAACAAAAACACAAATTAAAGCCACAACCACTAAATCATATGGAAGATGGCACCATAGTGACTCCATCTGATGGCCTGCTACTAACTTTAACTCTAGATCAGAGGTGTACAAACTTTTTGTGTCAGCTCAAAAATACTCACTGGCCAAAAAATATCATTTTTAAAATTAAAATTAACTAAAATGTTGCATTTTTCTTACTCAAAAGTAAACTAACCATGAAATATTTAAATTAAACAAATAAACAAATCAGTTTTTCTTTTCTAGGAATGGGATCATAGATCCAAAACTTCAAAAAGCAATTAAAACGGGATCTTCATTTGAAAACGTTTCTCGTTTTTAACCAAGTTTTAATACAGCAATTAAAAGCACCAAGGTGTACTTTAGAGTATAAGTCAAAGGTTTCCAGTTAAGAAAACCAGGAAGTTTGGAAAAGATGATCACTTTGTGATGCATCTAACATTTTTGCAAGTCAATTTTAATTTAAAAGTCATGGTTTTGTCCTAATTTATTCTTTAATCGTTATGATTGGGGCTAACAAATTCAGACCAAAACCAGCAAATGCTGGAGTTCTTGTGTAAAAACGTAAAAAGTTGATTGGGTTAACCATCACAATGCTGGTCAGAACTGGAGCACAAATACCAAGGTGCCTAAAATGCAGACATAATTCGCAACTTTTAATTTAGAGCACCAGTCTTTATTTAATATCACAACTGTTTATGTGTGATATAACATTGCACTGTGATGATTCAGAATAGAGAGCTTTTAAATCTCTTTGTTGGGGCCGGTTTTTTAAGTCTCTAAGGTACTTCAGACTGACAACATTTGTTCTGACTCTCTCCTCCTCGTTGGTTTATCTGCCATTTAAATATTTACTTTATGATCTCATATTTAAGCTTTGCTGTCTCTACTTTGGTTCTGTGGTTGTGTTATGCTTGAGTTCAGCCATCCAGACTCATCACCCATCGGCGACTTCTTTTACGCTTTTAAAAATGTTTTTCAACTTTAATCATGAAAGTAAACGCATATATTGTGAGGTTAAAAAGAAAAAAAAGATAAGTCGAGAAGAAAATTAATTTTAAAAAAATGAGGAAGACAAGGGGGGCGTCCCAGATGGAAAGTGAAGAAACGCTGCGGACCAGTGTGGCTTGATGAAATCCTGATGTGGGTCCAGCTGCTGGCAGGGCTCAGGGCTCCGGAAAGTTCAGCGAAAGTGAGCAGTAAAAGTGAGGCGCCCACACTGGGGGGAGTACAGTGGGGCCATTCAGCCCGTGGTTGTTTTTTTCCGCTTGCATTGATAACAAAATATCTTCTTAGAGCGTTTTCTATTTATGCCACATGCACACAGTCAATGCAAACATTTAGGTTCTGTGAAAGCGTGACTCTCTTCACACTTCAGCAAAGGTTTGCAGCGACGAGTCTGCGCCGAATGTTTAGTACCAACAAGATCACACGAGTGTCTGAGCAAGGTCACAGAGTTTCATAATGTTGTATTGGAAGTAACCGGCTGCGAAACACAATGTGCTACCAAGCACTGTCAAACAAAACCACAGAAAATAAAACCCGAGCGTATTATTACTAGACAGGCATCAGCACAACCCACAGCCTGCAGCAAAGCCTCATGATGCACTTTCCAACCAAGAGCGTTTGATATCACTTCAGGAAATCACTCACCTCAGCTCGGCGCCGACACAAACAGACGAAAAGGACAGAAGCCTTCTGTTGTGCATGACGCTACAATAGCTCTAAAATGATTTTAGCTGAATAAAAAAAAAGAACTAAGCATGCATAAAATAGATTATATTCGACGGAGACCTGGAAAAATCAAATTTCTCAACTTTTTCAGTTCAATTAAAGGTAAATAATTTAAAAACTGTATGTTGGAGCGATGAATAGCGACGCACCGATCCATGTTACGATACCGATACATCTGAGCTTTAATATCGAAAAACATTTCTCTTTTTTAAGACAGACATAAAAGTACTGAGTTATAAATTTATGTCTTAACTCTTAGCATCATAAGCTTGGTCAAACATGAAAAAAACAAAACTTTAAATAGTTCTGTCGATGCAACTAGGATTATAATAGGCAACAAAAAATTAACAGCAAAGAAACTGAAACGAAAACAATAAGTTGACATGTAAAATAAACTGCAATAAATCTTATAAATGGTTCAGAAAGTGTGATTCAGACTTGTAAATATAATGTAAAATAAAAAATGAACCATAACGTTTCTCAGACCTCAAAGCATAGAAGTAGACTGAATAGATCTGCTCTTATGGATCGAGTCACATTACCACTGATGCCGGATCTAGATTTTTTTTTTTGTTCAATTTCAGATATTAATATCAGATTAGAGCATCTCCAGTGACGAAACGCAAAAAAATCTCATTAAGCTCAGTTAAGTTCAGAACTATATTCAATTATTTAATTTCCCCCATGCAACAATAGTTACAATTCTCTGTGCAAATGTAATTAGTGGGGGGGGGAAAAAACGATCATTTTCTTGAAAGGCCGTCTGGGAGAAAATGAAAATGAAACGGTTGTGATACGATGGCGACAGCGGTGGTTTGTCACCGCTGAGCTCGTCCCGTTCAGCCCTCATTAGTGACGCCAGGCTGGTGGTCAAGACTGGGAGGAGTGGGGGCTGTGAGGCCGAGGTGGATGCTGCGGTGGGGGGATGCCACCTAATGTACAAGCCTGCAGAGGGGGGGGTTTAATTACAGGATGCATGCATTTCGTGAAGTGCTGCACCATAAATCTTAGAAATTACCCCTTACCCAGTTCCCATCCCCCTCATGTTACTTTATTTGCTCCCTGTCCCTTTTTCAGTCTCTCTCTCTCTCTCACCAATAAATATTTGCCTTGTGGTGTTGCTGCAGCCCACTCCCTCTAATCCACGGGACGTAGTGACAAGAGGATAAGAAATACAAACAGCTATAATATCCCAGAGACCATAATGCCTAAAAACAATCCGGTTATTGTTAACAGTAAAAGGTGTGATTCCCATGTGACGGTTGTCGTTGGCAGCTATTTGGGAAGAAATGAGAAGCGTATAGCTGAACGGCAGCGTGTTGATTAGCGTCAGCGTTTCCTCGTCCACTCAACAAGGCTGCTTCATTTTGTAAAGTGTGAACTGTGTTGACGCCATTCTTACTCAAGCATATCCGGTTTCAGGTCTCATTCAGGGTTAACAGGCTCAGGCACAGCACCCTCCTTCATCTGAATGCCTGCAGTTACTTCCTCCACATTTGGCTCATTGACATTTTTCCAACATTTCAAATTGAAAGTGCGTCTCAGAGGTGACACACTTTACCTACACTGCAAAAACACAAAATCTTATAAAGTATATTTGGTCTAGTTTCTAGAAGACACTTGGAATAAGACCAACTAACTTACAAGTAGCTTTTCAGCAATATAGGAGCTTGTTTTAAATCAATAATTTCTTAATATTGATGAAAAAGTGCTAGTCCCACTGGCAGAGTACCTTATTTATAATGAGACATTTTTGCAACTGGTATTTTTGATTAATATTAAGGAGTTGTCAACTTTTAAAAAAATTACTTGTAAGTTAGTTTTATCATTTCAAGTGAATTAGTATATTTGCACTAGAAACTAAACCAAAAATACGTGGGAAAATTTTTGTGTTTTCGCAGTGTAGAAGTTTTAAATTGGTGTTATTTTTATGAGAAAAAAATAGGAGTTGTTGAGGAAAAACAGTAATTATTATGACCCAATCTGCGGCGCTATTGTGTTGTTGAGGTTAGCAGCGTCACGTAATTGTCTAAAAATATTATAATTACAAGATGGGATGAGGTACGCATATCATATGACTGTAGGAATAAACTCTATGCTTCGCAGAAGGACCAAATAAATGAATGCAGCAGAAACATCACATACAAGCAAAGAAAGAAAATGTTGGCTCGTGTAGCGAAGATGAGGAAATAAATTATCTTTTATAGCGCCATTGTTTTTATAGCGCCATCGTTTTTACAGCGTGGAAGAGTTAAAACTTTAATTATGGGCCAATGATTCAGCGGCGAAGAAAATCCCATGCTATTAAATAAGATGTAATTTATTTTAATCAAGTGTGGAGCCAAATCTAACAAAGGATGATTTTAAATGTTGCTATGAGTGATCCAAATTAGTGATCCATTACATTTTTCTTCATTGAGTTATAAATATGACATGAAACAGACGGCTATTTATTTTATTTACTTGCCAATAAACTGAATGACGGTCCAGGTTCGTCTTGCTGCCACGCAGAGAGGAAGATGTCAAAATAAAATTAAAAATATCCCCATAAATCACTGCTGGAGAACTGAAAAGCAGCATGTCTGGGTGTAATATCAGATGTTATAGAGTTTGCACAGTGGTGCAGTTGGTTGCACTGTTGCCTTGCAGCAAGAAGGTTCTGGGTTTGAATCCCGGCCTGGTTCTTTCTGCATTAAGTTAATTTGACTTCCTCTCACAGCCCAAAAACATCACTGTTAGGATATTTGGTGAGTTTTTCTTAGGCATAATTGTGTGTTAGCACAGTTGCAGAGTTGTGTTGTCACTAATTACATTACATGAGCGACTTTTTGGAGAAGTTTTACTTTTAGGAGTATTTTTTTTTTTTACTATGCTGCACTTTTTACTTCAGCTCGAGTAATTTTATTTTGAAGTATCAACACTTTTACTTCACTGAATGAAGAACAAACATGTTTTAACCAAAATTACACCGGGCAGACACACACCTGCAGTTTGTTAACGTTGCATATATTGAAAGAAATTGATTTATAAAAATGTCTCTTTTGTCTGATTTCATTTCATAATTATGCTATTTATACTGGTTGTTCTAATTTTGATCTTTTAATACCAAAATTT